CCCCCCCCCCCCCCCCCCCCATGGAGGTGTGAAATGCTTGCACTTGCACTCTACAGGTGGCTGTAGCAAAAGTTTTTCTGCACTAACAACAGTTGGGGGCTGTTTACACTTTGCATATTTTGAATTAATTCACACCTTTCTGTCTGCTGTTTGGCTGTTCATTTACACAACACCAGTCACCCCGCTCTTTGAATCCGGAGGATTCTCAACCCACCTCAGAGTGAAGGTTTTCGAGGCGGCCGCCAGCTGTTATGTAAACAGCTCCCGCACATGCGCACTACAGACGTATATTTCATGCACACGTGAACCGATAGCATATTTCTATCAACAACAATGGCGTCGGAGTAAAGCACTGCTTTCTGGGTTATGACTGGAATATATTTTGAGTCTCGTAGTAAATCTAAAATCACATTTCGGTTCGGTTCAATTTCAAGGAGGGCTCGGTTCAGTTAATTTTCGGTACAAAAAAGGCCCAAATAAAGACTTACAAAATGTTTATTTATTTTTTTTTTCAGCTGCATTTGACCTGGGCGGAGCGGTGAAATGCAGCTGATTTGACGTTTGCTCCAGGGGTTCTGGAGCAAGACAAAGGTGGTTTTGTATGGCAAGCCAAGTGTCTCATTAATAGCCACTTTTACCTATTAATGAGACACTTGGCTTGCCATATAACTCGAGGGCCCTCTAGCGGCTGAAAATGGTAGTGTTCAATATTTTCTATGTCAAAATGAATGAAATCGTCAGATCTCAGCCAAAAATTGGGTTTTAAATATGGGGGAGAAAATGTATATTAGTCACTTCGGTGCATAAGTCGCAGGACTTGCAAATTTATGCAAAAAGGTGTGACTTATACGGCAAAAAAAAAAGGTACACACTTTTTTTTCCAGCAGAAATATAATATTCCAGCTAAAAGTGGCCCAGTGTCAGAATTTCTACAGCTGACTGCTGTTTCGGGGAGTGGTGGTGCAGAGGTTAGAGAGGTGGGCCTGTGATCCGAAGATCGCCGGTTCACGCCCCGGCCCCGACAACATCAAAATTGTGGGTGGGGTAGGTGAAGCACCCACACTTGCCCCCACCCTCATTCGCCCCACTCTGGGCCCATGAGCAAGGCCCTCAACCCCCCATCTGCTCCCTAAACAGGTCTCTCTTGAAAATGAGTTCTATGTCGTATAAGCTTCGCCCTTTAAGGCCTTCGCTTTAGTGGGTTTATCCCGTTATGCAGAGCATAAGCACTGAAAAAAATTAGTCCACGCCCACCTGCTGTGTGGGCCCCACCCGGTCCGTATAAATTACGTTAAGAGCGGGAAATCGGCTCCCATTTTTTCTTCAGCGAGCTAATATAGCACTGTCAGAAGAACAAAGAAGATAAATTGTGTAAATGACCAACCTTTGCGAAAGATGCTTGGCCCGGCAGTCGACCTCCGGTCGTCCGGTGAGTTCTCCTCCCCGAGGAGAAGATGACAGCAGTCTTATTCCAAGGTAAGCGTCGTGGAACATTTCCCAGTGACAGGTCACTACACGCTGGACAACGCCATCTTGTGGTTTTCCTCTTATCGCCGACCCTCGGGGCGAACCGGATGGTTCCTCCGGGGCAAGGCGTGCTCAGCTGCAGCCCCGCTGCTCTTTCCCTCCTGGGGAGCGTAGTGTAGGTGGAGGGGGGCTGAGTGAATGCTCACCCCATCCCACCTCGTTTCGCATCGGCGATCACACCGCTCCCGGCCAACGGCGCCCTCAGGGGTTGCCCGGCGGAACCCAGGAGGAGGCTGACATGAAGGGACCCCTTTTTTCTACGTCCCTCGCCTTTTCCCGCCAGTTCGGATGATCGGCGGAAAGGTTATTTTTCACTGGGCTCCACTCTGGCTCACCGTCTTGATCCATACGGCCTCGCGTTCCAACAGGACGTTCCACGGGCGAGGCCGCAGACGGTTCTTTCCTGGTAGATTAGAGGAGTCGGTCCCCAGTCCGCTCCCATCACCAGAGTTGAGGGATTCACCGAGCGGGGCTATTCCTCGGTAACCCCCCCCCTGGAGCCAAGCCTCGCGGAAGCTTCCGGAGCGAAGCTGC